GAGACATCCAAGAAACAAAAAATCTATTCAAAGCTGGAAAAACCATTTAAATGAAGCTGAGGATAAGATTTTAAGCCTTGAGGACAAGATTGCAATTAGTGACCATGAAAGGATACAACTTTTAAAAATAACAAAGCAGCATGAAATGACAATCCAATAGCTTCAAGATGATGTCAAAAGTAACAATGTAACATTAATAGGCATTAGTAAAGATGCAGAAGTCAATGCAAATGACATAACTAAAATATTCAGGGAAGTAATAGCAGAAAATTTCCCAAACATGGGGAAAAATCTGATATGCAGATAAGCAAGGCATATAGAATGCCAAACAGTCACAAGCAACCTAAATCTACACTCAGACATATAATAATTAAGATCTCAGACAGGCAGCATAAAAACAGAATACTAAAAGCTTTTAGAGAAAAGACACAACTCACTGTCAAGGAAAGCCCATCAGAATCTCGGCAGACTTTTCAGCCCAGACCCTTCAGTTAAGATGAGCTTGGAGTGCAGAATTCCAAGCCCTGAAAGTAAACAACTTTCAAACTAGATTGATGTACCCAGCAAAACTGTCTTTCAAATTTAAAGAATACACAAGATATTTCCATGACAAAGAACAGCGAAAGAAATTCATGTCCATCAAACCAATCCTAGAAAGAGTATTGAAAGACATACTAGATAGAGATAAAAATGACCACAATCTCCAAAACAACAATAGAAAGAAACTATCAGGCAGGGCAAGCAATTAAAGAAGGGGGGAAATCAGAAAGCATACAACACAAACATAACATGGCTAAGTTGAGCCAGTATATATCAGTAATATCCATAAAAGTAAATGGCCTCAATTCATCTATCAAAAGAAATAGGTTGACTGAATGGATCAAGAAACAGGATCCCACAAAACTCTGTACACAAGAAACACATTTGACCCCAAAGGAAACTCATAGATTAAGAATCAAAGGATGGAAGACAGTATTCCATGCAATAGGAACCCAGAAAAAAGTAGGGGTAACTATTGTATTTTCAGACAACATAAACTTCAAGCCTAAAATTATTAAAAGAGATAAAGAAGGTCACTACATACTTGTTAGTGGAAAAATTCAAGAGAAAGAACTAACAATTATAAATAAATATGCACCAAATACAGGAGCACCCAACTACATAAGACAAATACTAATGAACATGAAAAACCAAATACACAGTTATAACAGGAGACTTAACAGTCCATTGTCACAAAGAGATAGATCAATTAGACAAAAAAATCAGCAAAGAAATAATAGAACTGAATCATACCTGCAAGCAATTGGACTTAGTAGATGTTTACAAAGTGTTTCACACAAACACATCAGGATACACATTCTCAGCTGAGCATGAGATATTCTCCAAAATAGACCACATATTGTCCCATAAAACATTCTTAAGTAACTGCAAAGATACTGAAATTATCCCATGCTTAATATCTGACTATAGCACACTGAAATTGGAAATTAATGGCAAAAGAAATTACAAAACCTGCATAAATACATGGAAATTAACCTTTTGAACAATCAGTGGGCTACAGATGAAATTAAAGAAGAAATAAAGCATACCTACAATTCAATGAAAATGCAGAAAAAACACACTTTAATATGTGGTATGCAATGAAAACACTCTTTAGAGAAAAACATATAGCAATATCACAGCTATATGTTATATCAATAAAACAGAATGATCACAAATAAACAACCTAATGCTTCATCTAAAGCTTATAGAAAAAGAAGAACAAGTTAAATCCAAAGCTCATAAAAGAGAAAAAAATTGTAAAGATTAGAACAGAGATAAATGCAATTGAAACTAAAAAAATACAAATAATTAATGAATCAAAAAGCTTATTTTTTGAGAGAATAAACAAATTGACAAACCCCTGGCTAACCTCATAAAGAAAAAGAAAGAAAAAAAAAACCCAAATTCACTCAATAAGGGCAGAAAAGGAGGAAATTATTACAGATCTCATAGAAATTCATGGGAAAATCATGAATACCTGTTTTAAAAATCTCTACTCACATAGAGTGGAAAATTCAGAGGAAGTGGGCAGATTTCTAAAAACATATGAAGTACCAAAGCTCAACCAAGAAGATATAGCAATTTTGAATAACCTAATATCAGCTATGGAAATTGAAAATTTCAATAATTAAGACTTCAAAAATTAAAAATGCACTAATAAAGAAAAGCCCAATTCCTGTTGGATTTATGGCTGAATTCTACAAGAAATTTAGAGATTTGATAACAATACTCCTTAAACTCTTCAATGGAATTGAGAAGGAAGTAATCCTCTCTAAATCATTCCTGCAGGCAAATATTACTCTCATACCAAAACCAAAGAAAGATGCACCCAAACAGGAGAACTATAGACCAATCTCACTAATGAACATTGATGCAAAGATTCTCAATAAAATACTAGCAAATAGAACCAGCAAATCACCAAGATTATACATCATGACCAAGTAGGATTCATTCCAGGAATGCAGTTATGGTTTAACATACACATATCAATAAACGTAATACACCACATCAACAGAGCCAAAAACAAACCACATGATCATCTCAATAGATGCAGAAAAAACTTTCGATAAAGTCCAACACATGTTCATAACAAAAACCCTTCAGAAACTCGGAATACACCATGTCTACCTCAATCTTATAAAGGCCATCTATGACAAACCAACAGCCAACATTATACCAAGTGGACAGAAACTGAAAGCTTTCACCTTAAAATCAGGAACAAGACAAGGATGTCCACTATCACCACTCCTATTCAACATAGTTCTGGAAGCACTAGCCAGGGCCATCAGACAAGAGAGAGAAATAAAAGGAATAAAATTAGGAAAGGAAGAAGTCAAATTATCACTATTTGCAGATGAAATAATTACTCTATATAGAAGACCCAAAAAACTCCATTAAAAGACCACTAGAGGTAATAAACAAATTTAGCAGTGTAGCTAGATTCAAAGTCACTGATCAAAAATCAATATATCATTCCCGTACACAAACAAAAAACTCACCAAGAGAAAAATTACAGAAATATTACCCTTCACAATAGGGTCTAAAAAAAAGCAATACTTAGGAATAAACCTAACTAAGAATATAAAATACCTATATGCTAAACATTATGCTATGCTAAAAGAGAAGATTGAAGAAGACACTAGAAAATGGAAGGATGTTCCTTGCTCATGGCTAGGAAGAATCAACATTGTGAAAATGGCCATACTCCCAAGTCTGTTATACAGATTTAATGCAATCCCAATCAAAATACCATTAACATACCTCACACATCTAGAGAAAAAATCCTAAAATTCATTTGGAAACAAAAGAAACCTAGAAAAGTGAAGGCAATTCTGGGCAACAAAGGCAAGGCAGGAGGCATCTCAATTCCTGAATTGAAACTATACTACAAAGCCACAGTGATAAAAATCAGCATGGTACTGGCAAAGAAATAGACCTGAGGATCAATGGAACACATTAGAAGATGCAAGCACAACTACAAAGGCATTCAGCCACCTTATATTTGACAAAAGGGCCAAACATGTTCACTGGAAGGATAGCCTCTTTAATAAATGGTGTTGGAAAAATTGCTCTCCACGTAACCAAAGACTGAAACTAGATCTATGCCTATCACCATGCACAACACTAAAGTCTAAATGGATCAAAGACCTAAATATTAAAACAGAAACACTAAATCTACTGAAAGAAAGGTAAGTAGTAATCTTGAAGACACTGGAGTAGGCAGAAAATTCATGAACAAAACGCAAACTGCACAGGAAACATTTCAAAGAATCAACAACTGGGATCTCATATTATTGAAAAGTTTCTGTACTTCAAAAGAATTCACCAACAGCGTAAAAAGAAAACCCACAGAATGGGAAATAATTATAGCAAGCAACCCCTCAAACAGAGGACTTATATCCAGAGTATATAAAGAATTGAAAAACATCAAGCCCCCCAAATTCAAAGATGCTCTACAAAAATGGGCATCTGAGATGAACACACAGTTCTCAGATGAAGATATACACGAAAGGGTTTTGGCCCAGACAGGACACTGTAGCCGGTGAAGCCTTAGAGGGGAACCAAGGAGCTCCTATCTCCCCCACCCCTAGGAATTTACCTGTGATGTCATCTTCCCCGCCCCTGGGAACTTACCTATGCAACAAACCTAGACCAATGGGCTACTGGTGCATCCCTGATGCCCTTTTAGGTTCTACCCCAAACCAAGGCTACTTACATACCCCGTCACCCCCCACGCCACTGTCCGGTTGGGGGGGAGGGGTTGGTTTTCTCTCTCCGTGTTCTCAGAATAAAGGCCTCTTTTCTTTTACACTTCTCATCTTTTGGATATAATCTTATCAATATAAATGGCAAATAAATACATGAAGAAACTTTCACCATCACTGGTCATTCAAGAAATGCAAATTAAAGCAGCACTGAGATTTCATTTCACTCCAGAAAGAATGGCTGCCATCAAGAAATCAATTAATAACAAATGTTGGCAAGGCTGTGGGGAAAAAGGAGCACTGCTCCACTGTTGGTGGGAGTGTAGACTGCAACCACTACGGAAGTCAGTAGGGAGAATTCTCAGAAGACTAGGATTGAAAGTTCCACTCAATCCAGCTATTTCTCTCCTGGGTATTTTCCCTGAAAAACTGAAAAGGTCATGTCACAGCAATATATGTGCAAACATGTTCATAGCAGCACAATTTGTAATAGCTAAATCTTGGAAACAACCAAAATATCCATCAACCACAGAGTGGATGACAAAGAGGTGGTATTTTTATACAATGAAATATTACCCAGCTATTAAAAAGGAAGATCTTGAGTCCTTCATAGGCAAATGGAGACAACTTGAGGCTATCCTCATTAGTGAAATAAATAAGAATCATATTTATAAATATCACATTGTGTCTCTAGTGTAAAAAGTAATAAGAAATATAGGAGTAATAAAACTCAAAATGTGTAATTGCTGTTGTAAAAAAGAGAGGGAAATAATGTGCTCTAAAAGATATAACTGCATGTATGTTTAAGTGTGTAAGATTGATTACTAAGTTTTTGTTGGACAGAACTGTTTGCAGTTTGTATGCTTTTCTTTTGTAACTTGAACAACTATTTCTAAGAGAACAAAATGTAATTTATCAACTAGTGATTTCTTACTGATTTTTTTGAAACTATGTATTAATTTCTAGCCTTTTTCTGTTTTGTTTATTTTTCTTCAAATAAAAAAATTTTTTAAAAATCTTAAAAAATTAACAAGCCCAAGCTGAGTTTCCATGAAGCAAACCATACTGCCAACCCTGTATGGAACCATAACTCTACTTACCATCTTCCCCTCTATGGTCTGTAACTGGAAGAAGGAAAACTTATAAACAACTGAAGCTTCTCCCAGGGATGTTACTGAGCAAAGAAGGGATGCACATGTTACTGAACAATCATCGGATGTTCTTCCTACACCTATGCTACCTCCATTAAAGTAAACAAGTTAGCGATACGTAAGTCAGATTTTAAAATAACATCACTAAACAGGAGAAGCAACGGAAGACTGCAAGCAGGGATGGGGGACACCAGTGCAATTCTCTGATGCTATGATTGGCGTGACAAAGATCCAGTCTCTGACCCAAGGTTCCTGAGAACTGTGCACATTTTCATCTGGTCAATGGTGCCCGTGACACGCAGTGCAAAAGGTGCCTGTTACATGCAGCTGCCCCTAACATTTGTTTCACGTTATCCTTCATTCATGTCAATGAACACAAGAGACACCCCTGGCACGCTGGCACCCTGGGATGAAACTTGAAGCAGGTATTCAGTCTTGAAGCAAGTAAAGTTCAACGTTTCTTTTCAATAAATCTGAATATGGTATCTTCTAGAACAGGGACTTGATAGGGAACCTGTAGAGTTATCAAATCCTCGAAGAGTGTGATTTACTATATCCTGAAGTAAATATGAATCTTCTTTTCAAAAGATAAATAATACCCCTGTTGAAAAAAATCCTAAGACATAATTGCTAAAATTCCACTGAATTGCCCATTATCCATCCTTCCCCCTTGAGCCACAAAACATCCCTCTTTCTGACCTCCAATGATGTTAAACACAGAGGGGGTGCAAGGAGGCTCAGGGCTCCCAGATTCCCCTAAGCACACGTGGCCCCGTCTCTCCTTACCACAGCTTTCTAGGCATCAGACTCTTAAGGCTTATTTTCATTCTTCCACTCATTTCTTACTGAAAAAAGAAAACTCAAAAGCTGGTTTTTGCAAGTTTGTGATTCAATAAATATTCAGAACAAACAGTGACTGATGTGTCACCCATGTCCTATGCATGGCCTAAAGGAAGCTGCTTTGAAGTTAGAGAAATATACATACCCAGGGGCTTGAAGCAGAGGTAAAATGTCAACTTACAAGCACAGGGGTTAGAAAGCTGTCTCAAAAAGAAGGTGTTATGGAAAAGGTAGTGAAAGGTTTACCACTGTCCCTTTCCGTTCAAGAGATGTTGACAGATGGCTATTCATTGTTTAAAGGAGAACAAAGACTCCAGAAGATAAAGGTGAAGATAAATATTTGTAATATTGTGTCACTGCATTTTACATAATGGCCTGTGGTCTTTGAAATCTGACAAATTTAAAGTCTACAGGTTGGTTTACTTTTTTCTTATTTGCTCTCGTAGGGCAGGCCTCCTTTAAGGCTGTCAGGCACCAGCACAGCTAACAGATCCAAGGGCCCCACGGGCATTCCGCCAACATGACCTCAGAAGTATTTACATATTAGAGACTATAATATAATTCAGTTTTTGTTTTGCTATAGTTTCTGCCAATTAATAATCTAATGTATTCCTCAGGGATGTGGTAAGTGTTGATTTAAGATAAAAAAAAGTGAAGACAAATATTAGTGAGTTGTACAAAGGTATTACTTTCCATGAGGGCATTATTTCTCAGCAATGACTACCTGGATCTCATCACCAGAGATTTTTATTTCCCTGGTCAAGAGCACAGCCTGAACAAGGTTTTCAAAACCACCATGAATAAGAGACATTGCACTAGAGAGTTACCGGCACACTCTGTATTTTATTTTATTTGGAGCACAATCAAGGTCAACCTGATTAACTCAACGTAGATGTTAAAAGAACCTGAAGAGAAATAAGGATGGAGGTATAGAGGAATAAACAGTCAAAGAAGAAGAAAAGCCAGTTGCTCCCAGCTGAAAGTTGGTGGAAACAAAACATACAAATGGGAAAATGAGAGACAAATTACCATAAAAGTGACATGGAAAGAGTTTCCCCCAGTGGAGTCAGGAGATCATTATGGAAGCAGGGTTTACCCATAATTCCAGCTATGTGACTGCCTGAAAGGAACTTTACAGCTCGGCTCTTTGGCTTAGAGCATCTGGATTGACTTAAGCAGCATATTGTGCTCAGAGACTCATGCCACAGAGCAAGAGATTATGGACTTCTGTTTTATGTAATTTCCATTCCTTTATGCATTCTTTGCTATGTCTATATCAGTTACAGAGAGCGCTCTGCTCCTTCTCAGCATAACAAACCCCTTTTCCTGCCTTCTCAGAGCACTGCGTTAGAGTTAAAGGTGAGTCTATATCTTCCGAATTACAGTTGCTGAGACCTCAAATCAAGTCCTTCACAGTTTAATGAGTTTAAACTCACTGACCTGAAAACAATTCAAAAGATGAAGTTTGGTTAGTAGAATTGTTGAAGCCCAGAAAAGAAAAAGTCACAGGACAGTGATGGCGAACGTTTTAAGAGTTTTCAGTGATACAAGCAGCCTGCTGTGGCATGCACGCCATGGATTCACCACCACCATTACAGGATGTGCAGGGTCAGACAACCAAGGCACTTTTATAAAGATCAGTCAGGTCTTTGGACAGCTCTGTCTGCTTTTCCATGCACCTGAGGTGACTCGGGGAGTGGCTGACACTCCAGCTCCTCTCCACAGCCTTGGGTGCTGTGCTTAGTATCCCTGTCCTCTGCCAGGCTTTCCCCATGCTGTAGAGATTTCCATGCTGGCTTGGAGACTGTGGCCAGACACCCACTTGCCAGAGCCTGGATGAAGGTATGCAGAGAGAGTCAAAAAGATGAGCGAGATTGAAGGAAACACCTGAAACACAGCCCCAGCTGCCTGATGCTCAGAAGCGTCCTTTTCCCCTTCCCCTCCTTCAAGCCCAGGGCCCTTGGCACCTCACAAACTCCTCTGTTAATGCAGGTTGAGCTGTCTGTGTTCCAGCCATAAGGCAAACAGTTGGAAAGTGATCAAACCGTGTGTCTGCTCCATCGCCTCACTTCGTATTGAAAGAAGGTTTGCTTCCAATTAAGGGATTTCGAGATTCTAGTAAAGGGTTTACAGACTCTGTGCAGAAGTGGAAAGGACAACCCCTCTATGTCCCCACCATCATTCAGAAAAGAGAGTCCAAGGCCAGGAAACCTACTGATGGTTTATGATGTAGGTATTAGAGTGTCATCAGGTATCACTAAGTGATATTTCAAAAATCAATATTGAGAGACTAATAGAATCCGATATAATCAATGTCATGGTAAGAACAAACTTTTTCTTGACTATATAAGGTATTAGTAATTGCATATTTTGCTGTAATTATTCAGTACTTGTAAATTTTTTTACTTTTATCATTTACTTACTGTGACATAATAACTATGGATATTATTAAATATGTTTCATCATTGAATTAGTTAAAAACAACTCTACACAGGAACATTTGTTTGAACAAACAGGCTGGTGGTTCTGTTAGAGGTTTACAGATCAGAAGGAATACTGTTCCCAGTAACTTCCTCATGCCATAGGCATTGAATTTGTCTGCCTTTTCTGTGCATTGTTAAAATATCTCTCTTAATTAAAGATTGCTTACCATAATAAAGTAGCAAATCTTTTCATGAAGCACTTACAAGATTAGATAAAATTGTCAAAAATAGCTACTTCAGGGCTTTCGGAACTAAGAAAAGACCAAAAATAGATGAGAAGCACTGTATTTGCGCATAAACAGATAAATATATACGGGGGACATCTAGGCCTTCTTGCCTGGTACTGTGCCCATCATCCCTCCAGCTGAGACATCTGTATGGTAGTTTTCCCAGGGCAGAGCAGGCATGAAAACCAGCAACTTCACTGCTACCAGGACTTGCTGGGTCCAGAGGGACTGTCAATAAAGCATTAGCATGGGTAGGAAAAAGCAGGGAGCGCCTCATGTCTCACAGCACGCAGATGCAGCTGAAGTGAGCATCAACCAAGCAGGCTGGCCAGACCGTTGACAGGGAAAGCCTAGAAGAGAAAATGTGATTGAGTGGCATGCTGCACACAAGCACAGCGAGGAATCCCAGAGTGCTCACGACAGACTTGAAAGCTGCTTGAACTTTGAACATGCTCCAGATGCACACTCAGATCCAACAGCAGGAGCAAAGGAGCGAGGAGGGGCATGAATGCCATCTGTCATCAGTCACTAGCTGACCACCACACTGACTGATGTAGGGCAACACAGGAGGAATAAGAGGGAAATAAAAACGGGGGCGGGGGGGGGAATCCCAGAAATTCCTGACATCCTGGGGAGATAGTTCTGCGGAACAAGTCCAAGCAACCAACTAAGAAAAATAATAGCAGTGACATTTTCAATCATATGTGGGCTCAAAAACTTATTTGTTGTCTTATAAAGGGAAAAGGGAGGAGAGAGAGAAAGGGAGAGAGAGAGATAGAAACAGGGTGACTATTAGAGCAGAGAAAGGAACCATGAGGGAGGGTAGAGGGGGCCAAAAGGTATATTTTCTAAAATAATCAGTTTTCACAAAATATCATCAAACAGACAAAGAGATAAGATGGTATTGAGCCTGAAGATTAGGCCATGGCAGGCTGGTTGAAAATCACCATGGAACCTGAACCACAATAAAAGTTGATCAAAAAGAGGTGACCTCTTAAATATGGCAAGCATCTGCTGGGCAGAACAACTTCCCAGAGATACATCTGAGAGGGACTAAAAGTTGGTGGCCATTGACTTCCCACCCCTCTGACCTTGCTGCTCTATCGTCCTCTTGTTTCTGTGAGTGCCATCCTGCTTGCAGGAAAGATCTCCTCTTTCTCTTCTTTTTTCCTCTTTCTTCCCTATTATTCCTTTGCTTTCAATAAAAATTGCATTTGCCTGTTCATCAGGCATCTTGGCCAATTTTTTTAGTGAGACAAAAATAGCCTGGAATCACTAGATACCGTGCCATTGGCACCAGAGTGACTTATACTCAAGAACAGTAGCAATCTGTAGAAACTTTCTCTGAGTGGGTCCTGATGGTGGATTCAGTATATGAAGAATGATCCTAAATGAAACAAAAGGTAAAAATGACTGTGGAACACTGAGCAGAACACAGGAGGCCTAGGTCAATACACCACATTCTTGCCAGGAGTGTCTTAAGAGCCTCAGAAGGACAGGAAAAAGTATATGGAGGGGTAAGAGTCAAATATTCTATATAATGGAGAATTCTTAAAAACAAAGAAAAAAGAATATTCAAGACACAGATGAATGCTATATAGAGGCACATCAATAAAAGCAATGTCTGACTTTTCAGGAAAGACCAGAGAATCCTGCTTAAATGAACACAAAAGGCCTCACAGCCTAGAATTATATATTTCCAGTAAAATTCTACATACCCGGTGGTGATGTCCATCAGAGCAAAGACGAAATGAAGACATTTTTGTCATGTCTTATCACCAGCAGGCCAAGTTTTGCACACTGAAGAAAATGATTCCAATCTGAAAGTAGAAAACTGGATAAACAAAAAATTGTAAAAGTCTCTGAAATGACAAATGAAGGGAATACTGTGTTTTCCTAATTTACTTGAAAGGTATGTGTTTAAAATTAAAGGCCTTGTGTTTGAAGATTTGTAGCCTATAGAGGAGCAAATTATATAAAAGCAGTAGGCATAAGGATAAGTGGATTTGTACTTTATAAGCCACTCACACAGAGGCACTGATGCCACTTGAAGACGTACTGTGATCTATCTACCATCTATCTGTCTGTCAGTCTGTCTATCATCTATCTATATAATAGTGTCTGAACTCCCACTAAAGAATAAAGTGACAATAAACATAAGAGACCAAGAGAGGATATAAAATAAAATACTAAAAGTGCATATATTTGACAACACATATAAACATTCAGTCTACATAACGAACTCCCTTAATTAAGCAAGTTAGAAGGGTTTTATTGTTATTATTGTTACTTAAAATCTTAGTATTTACAAGAAGCCAACCCCTTCCTGTGAGCCGGTGGCAGCCATGTGGACCACCAGGAGGAGAGATGAGAAGCAAACCCCCACCCGTGAGTCAGCATCAGTCACAGGTGGGGAGGATAAACAAGAAAATAACTTAATGCTTGCAGTGTTTACTATTTGACTGACTTTTCAGGCCAAAGACTGGTGGTCTTAGTATCTATCTGGAAGATAACAATATGCAGTATAGCAACAACTATCAGGGATTTCCTTCTTAAGGTGATAGCTGTTAATTCCCTATTATCTTGTTTTAAAGTCTTGTATCATTTTAAGTGTTTTGTTTGGCTTTATTCTGTTTTGTTTGCTTTTATTATATCTGATGGTATGGGCAGCTATGTTGAAGATAACAAGAGGCATTCTGGTAGCCATTGTTGATTTCCTATTATTTTGTTTTGAAGTCCTGTATCACTTTCACTGTTTTGTTTTGATTGGCTTTATTCTGTTTTAATTTTTTTTTATTCTTTTTAGAATCAAAAAAAAGGAAAAAATTTAAAATGTTAGTATTTGCCTGATTTGATTGTTGACTGGTCTTTGGTGCATGCATGAATTAAACCATCCCCTTTACCTCATAAATATGTCTAATTATTATGTGTCAACCAAAAAGTTACTTTAAATGCAGTCAAGTCCTTTTTTTAAAAAGTAACCTGACAAAATAGGAAAATGACTTGGACAAACATTTCACAAAAGATGTAAAGACGCTCAACATCATCCATCTTCAGGGACATGCAAATTGAAACCACAACCAGACACCATTAAAGTTCCCTACAAATGCCAAACATTAGTTATGATCTTGCATTTCTTCTCCTCAGTGTTCACCCAAAAGAAATGAAAACACATGCCTACCAAGTAACTTGTACAAGAGTACTCATTCCAACTTTCTTTGTAATAGCTGAAGATTAAAAGCAGCAGATGTCTATTAACAGGCAAATGGGCAAACAAACTGAGGTATGTTTATGCAATGGAATATGACTCAATTAAAAAAACTGGGGAGATGAGACATTGACACATGCAAGAACACGTACAAATCTCAAAAGCAACGTGTTACAGGAAGCAGGCAGGCAAGTCACAATGAGTCTCTCCTGCAGGATTCCATCTACTTACGTGAGTATGGTAATCGGCAAACAGGCAAAGCTAATTTGTGGGGTTAAAACAAGAACAGAGGTTGAATTTCCAAGGCCCAGCATAAAGGAGCTTTCTAAGATGATACAAATATTATGTATTTTGAGATGTATGAGTTTTTCAAAATTTAAGGTCTATGCATTTTACTGTAATTTTGTTCAGTTAATACAATTTCCTAATTCCTAAATAAAAGATATCAACACCTGCACATTATTCCTTTCTTTGTATCTTATTGATTATGACTTCCCTTCAAAGCTACCAAAGAAATGCAGGTAGAGATTGGGTCTCACAACTTCTGCTCAGTTCCTACTCCCTGAACATGCCTTTCAGTTCTAGACTGTGATCATTCCCTGAAACAAATTGATTTCCCAAGCAGAAAAAGAATGGCTGGATTTGTGATCAACCCACCATTAGCTAACATGGTCACAGGGCCCTGCCTGAACCTCAGAAAAAACATACACACATATTTATTTGGCTAATCTTTCCTACTAGATAGCCTGGTTTTAGCATCATTTGGAAATATGAAACTTCCAACGTGCAAATCAACAGACTTACTTCTTACTTGAGGAAAAAGAATCACATTTATGAATAGCACTCATCAAACTTAGAAGAGGTTTTGCTTACCAATACCCACTCAGCTCATCTTTAAAAACATCTAGAAAGTAAACTCTTGGTGATGGAAAGAGGGATCAGGCAACAGGAAAGGAAAAGTTAATAGATGTATCATATGCATGTACCAGTTCCTCAAAACAAATATCACCATTCTGTATTACAAACATTCACTAATTAATTTTAAAAAATCTTAAACTTCTTACCTCTAGTCAGTTGTGGGTATGGGACCACAGTGACTAAGAAAAATTTTAAAACTCCAAATATCATAATGACTAAGAAATTAACCCATCATTAAAAACCTGAATTTTTGTGGGGGAACTGAACCAATTTTTCATTGTTGATATGCTACGGACTCAGGGACTAGGACAGAAAGTACCAGAATGGGTCATGTTTATGGTGTCAGGGCCACAATTCATGCAGTCTTGGAGCAAATCAAACGTTTGAGTAAGACACTAACAAAAACAAATGTCGGGCATCTGAGTGAGGAGAACATATCCCTCTAGTCTGAAAATAACTCTCCACTGCAGGTATATTTCTCAGCAACAGTTTTTAAATATAATGTTGAAGGATTTTGGTATAGTGAACAAAAATACTTCAAGAATTACAAATGGTTGGGGTAGGAGAAATTAAATACAGTAGTTAAAAACATGGGCTAAAAGTCTAACATACCTAGGTTCAAATTCCAACTCAGTCTTAGATCAGTGTGATCTGCAAATTACTAAGCCTTTCTGTGTGTTAGTTCCCAGATTTGCAAAACAGGAGTAATAATAACACTTTTACAAGGATGCTGACAACATTAAACTTAGTGATACATTTAAAGTATTTAGTATAACTACAGGTATAAAGTAATGTTTCGGTAAATGATAGCTTTCATAGCAACCTACTCAAATTCTTAAAAACATAAAGATAAGTAACTTAGAAACACAATTGTATTAATATACTTTTTATCTCAGAGAATTTTCTGAAATGACTATTGCATATTGGAGCCACAAGTGTAGATGAGAGGATCATTCTTCATTTTCATCTTGTATAATTACTATTCTAGAAATATAAATAAGGAAGCATTCTCCAGCTCTCTAAAAAACCTGTTGGTCACAGCACTCCCCATTTAAATGAACTGGTAGGAAGCCAGCCTTGCTGGTATATTTGGTGAGGTACCAAATACCTCACCTCTGCAGATTGTCTTGAAAAACACTGAGCATCCATCATTCTAAGGGAGTCCTAAGGATCTTGATGACATGGCTCTGTTTTATATGGCTGTGGCACATGTCAAGGACGTTTTTTACTCCAGCAAGTTCTGATAATTGCGTAGATCAGGCTCCCCCAGGAACAGACTCTGAGGCTCTGAGATTGTTGTGGGAGCTTGTCGGAGGTTGCTTTGTAGATTGAGCTGAAAGGGACAGATCTGTGACGTGCTACAGAGACCCCAGAGACTGCAATGGGAGCTGTGTTGCTAGTAGGATGGCCCTCCCAAGCAGGCCCGCCTGGAAACACATGGAAAAGCCACTGAGTGAGATTTGCCTTTGGGGAGGGGGAATGAGCTTGGCCAAGAGTGTTGCCTGGAGAAGAATCAACTGAGAACATTTAGCTGCACATGCCCCACCACCTTCAGGAGCTGGAGGATGAGTGCCGCCTTCTTGCAGTGGGACTTGGTAGAACACCAGAGTTCTTAAACCTCTCTTGAGGTGACCAGCAATTACTTATAACTATGAGTTTATAGTTATAACTTAAGAGAACTAAGCATACACACACACACACACACACACACACACACACACACTCATTACTTCTGAAAAAATCAAGTATTAAATATGTGCCGCATCTTGGAGTGCAACTTCTATCATTCATACTTGATGATTATTATGTTAGCTCTCTATGTTTAATTTTGTCGATAAGGCTGGCAGAGATGAATGATAGAACCTAAACTAAGCAGCTCTTAAATGGAAAAGAGTGTGGCTTAAATAGATATTTATCACTTTAGTCACCATGCTTTTTCTCTACAGGGTCTGATATTTTGAGTTTTTATTTCTTCAAAGCTTTTCAGCGGGGATTTTAAAAATACAAAAACAATTTCTTCAGGAAATTAGATCTTGGGGATAAATGCATAGACTCAAAAGTCAATCATTCTCTACTTATTTTGGTTTCCTCCATTACTTCCTCCTCCTCCTTTCCATCATCATCACCAGCAGCAGCATCCTCACGCTTCATGCCTCACATCTCACTATCAAACCTAGCTTACACATGTGACAAAAGTTTGGTGAGGTGTTTGGTGACAAAAGACCAGCAATTACTTATAACTATTTGCTTAAATACTAAAGTTAACCTAAAGTGTCTTTTGTTTTCATTGTTTTTACTGTTTTTAGCTTTCAGTGATCTCAGGAAGACTTGAATGTCTACTCCCTATATTATGACTACCTTTTTTCCATGGGTTTTTGGTGCTGTTTAGAATGGGTTGAATGGAAATCTCATCTCTGAGAAGGATGCGTTCTCATTGCCTGGCAGTGTCCACACCTCACTCCTTCTGGGTCGATATAGAAGACTTCCTGAAGTTGAGAAGCTATGATCTCAAATGTAGGATTTTAAATTAAAGTTTTTGTTGATACAGCTGAGAGTGATTCTGCATGTGTGCCTGGAGTGGGGAGTGTGAGTTCACTACCACTATGGGCAAAGTATACTGGTTTCTGCTTTTGAACTCAAATTTAACAGATCCATCTTTCCATATTACTGAAGTTGTAGCCTGATGTGTAACCTTGGAACAAAGCCTGTGAAGGTGGTTTACTAAAAATTCTTAGGCTGAGGAAGATCAGAACAGCCTGTCCATCTCTGGTATGCAAGAATGGAGGCCAAATAGGGAGGTACACAGTTGTTTTGTCCCAGAAAATAGCTGCTTTGGAATTTCTGTGGTCAGATATTGGGGGATCACTGATGAAATGGGGAAAATATAAAAAAATAAAGTGAAAAACAAACAAGAAAAGGATTATTTCAAAGAGAGAATAAAGAAAAAATAATTTGTTCTTCTCCAGTTATAATAACTAGATGAATTTCAACTCAAAGGATGAAAGCAGGAGATGGCATAGAATGGTCACCCCTTTTCACCAAACTTTTGTCACATGTGTAAGCTAGGTTTCATAGTGAGATGTGAGGCGTGAAGGGTGAGGATGCTGCTGCTGGCGATGATGATGGAAAGGAGGAGGAGGAAGTAATGGAGGAAACCAAAATAAGTAGAGAATGACTGACTTTTGAGTCTATGCATTTATCCCCAAGATCTAATTTCCTGAAGAAATTGTTTTTGTATTTTTAAAATCCCCGCTGAAAAGCTTTGAAGAAATAAAAACTCAAAATATCAGACCCTGTAGAGAAAAAGCATGGTGACTAAAGTGATAAATATCTATTTAAGCCACACTCTTTTCCATTTAAGAGCTGCTTAGTTTAGGTTCTATCATTCATCTCTGCCAGCCTTATCGACAAAACTAAACATAGAGAGCTAATATAATCATCAAGTATGAATGATAGAAGTTGCACTCCAAGATGCGGCACATATTTAATACTTGATTTTTTCAGAAGTAATGAGTGTGTGTGTGTGTGTGTGTGTGTGTGTGTGTGTGGTTAGTTCTCTTAATCAAGACATAAACAACCCAGATACTTCTGTTTTCACTCCGCTTTATCCCACACGATTTGAAAGAATATTTTAAATATTTTCAACATTGTATCAGTAAAGTAATTCTTTCTAAGGATCTAAGGAGCAATTAACTGGTGTATTAAAGCTCTCTTAAAAAACATATTCAATATAAAATATATATATTATTGTACTATAAATACACCCAAAGTTAGGGAAGGAAAGGAATTTTAGCTCACAGTTTGTGGCACTTTCAGTCCATAATCAGCTGGTTCCAAAGCAGAGTGTCATGGCTGAGGTTTAACTGTTAGTGGCGGCCACAAGTGACAAGAGAAAAAAGGGCAAAAAAGGCAAAGCCTGCCTCCTTCCCTCCCTTGTATTGTATGCCTGAACAATTCCTGAAGAAATTGGTTGAACAGGCACAGCACTCACATCACCAATCCCAGAGCTAGACAATGAAACAATTATGAACACTAGGTTCAGCCACCTCCATGACTGCTTGAGGCTTTGGGGAAACACCCAGATACAAACCAAAACAATTATACAAGGTATTTATTAGGTAAGAAGAAGAAAAAGAAGAATTCTAGCTGACATCTGATGGTTCAGAGGCAACAGGATCCAAAATAGCCACCTGAGCATAGAGAATCACAAGGCCTGGGGGCAGTCAAAGGGCTAAATGATCATGGCAGAGTGTAAGGCTGCACTGGAAGGCTGAAGAGTCTAAGTTAGAGAGCTGAAGAAGCTCCACTGTAAGGCTGGAGGATCTTGAGACCAATGTGCAGAGGTAAAGGCAAAGACCAGAACTTCTCTAAACAAGAGAAACACTTCCTTCTTTATCTTCTCATTCTGTCCAAACTACAAGCCTTTTGCTTGTGCCACTCCCCTCTCCTTCTGCTGGCCTACACGTCAGACATTCATAGACACACCCAGAAATGCCCAATCTGCTAGCACGCTTACTTAAGTCAAATTATGATTGGCAAAACTTAAAATTTACTAAAACAAGGATTTATTAAGTTAAGTTGTCTTTCTGTTTTATATCAATAAAACTATACTTCTTCTGGAAGTCTCTATCAAAATCTATATTCATTTTGAAAAATATTAGCATCTGATTTATGTTTTACCTTGGCTTATACCTGTGTGACAATGTAATTCTGTTATTCACCTAAACTGTCTTTTGGCCACCAAGGTTTAAAGAAGCCATTGTTACTGTGACATGTGTGCTTGGTTCATTGTGCCTCCTGCAAAACGAATTATCAGTAGATATGAGAATATCAGCTGATATTCTGACTCCATTCCTTCTGCTAAGAGACAGCTAAACTTTCATTTTTGCCACTATGCTTCACTGAAGAAAGGACTCCAAACAAACAGATAAGTACTGGCTTTCATTTCCCTTTTAGCTAGAGCTTTTCTTTCTCAGTCTCCGACCATCATCTGTAGTAGGTAAGCGGTCACTTCTCTGCATTCCCAAGAGGATGGGAAGGCATTCCCCATTCCCCGTCCTGCCTCTTTGTTCATGCATTCAGTATTTTTCCCGGATCTAGAACAGAGTTCAGACATTGTTAAGCAGTTAATCCACAAAATTTCTCCATCCTTCTCCTCTTTCCATGATTCACTGATTCACTTGCTGGTTTTGGAAGACCTTTAAAGTGACAGTGTCTCCATGAAGACAACATCCAGATGATGAATATATTGGAAAGACAAAGGAGAAAATCTTGGTCGCATGGATCAAGAGTGACATCTGGGTAACATAAGATACATTTCTTCTTTGCTGGTAAAATGTCTATGGATTTTCTGTTCCAGAAGCATAAAACAAAAGCTGCTGTTAAAAGCCACCACACTCCAGAGCAACTCTGGCGTGCCTGGGTCTGTGCCTTGCCTGTGTTTTCAGTGAAATGGATACAAGAATGGAAGGTCTGGCATTCCCACTGCAGAACAGTCAGAGAGCAAATAATTCACAGTCACTATTAATCAAACAATGGTGCTTCCTTCCATGTGGAATAGATTCTAAATAATTTTATTTTTCACTTTTAAGATCTATGAATTATAATCAGAGTAGAATAAAAAATCAGATTCCAAGGATTCTAAAAAATGCACTTATGTGACAAGATAAAGACTGATTGAAGCTTTTTACCTTCCCAGAGTTCTGTTCACTTTCAGTCAATTGTCAGGTTCTTCATGTCTGAGGCTGCCAAGGTGTCATCTGAAGACAGTTATCTGCAGCTGATTTTGCATTTAACAGATGACTTGAGACACAGCAACATGTTTAGCTGTTAATTCAGGTCTAACGAGGGCCCCCCTGGAATTACTCTTCTTATACCTGATGCCCATCTGAGAGGAGCCTTCTTAAACAACAAACTTTCTCATGCTTTTGTGCTGAGGCTTACATCATTGCTCCGTTCAAAACGTTCCCCTTCCCCCATTTTTCCACTTCGTGAAATACTTTGGATTGTACTCAAATATCACCTCCGTTTTAGAGTTCTCCTTTATTCCCCACAATTAGAATGATTGTCCCCGATTTTGAATTCTCAGCAACATTTCCATTATGCACCTATTTTTATAGTTGTTAATTTTGTATGTTTTCTTTTTCCAGAAACAATTCATAAATGCTTCTGAATACTCAGATAGATAGGGAAGATTGAAATAAGACTATTTGAAGCATTTTGTTTTGGTCCTGATACCTAAGTATGTTTTTTTTTTTCATGATAAACACACACACACACACACACACACACACACACACACACACACATATGCAATCCAGCAGAATTTTTCAGGGAATCATTTTTCTAAATATCTCCTGACCAACAATATTTTGTTCTCATATTGTAATGGAAAGATTGCAGAGACCAAAAATTTAAAAAATAATTCCTGTTTTGAAGTGTGCTCGTAGATCAATAAATCAAACAGGAGTTTCTTTATGCACTTCAGAAATCCAAAAGCAAGATATTAACCCAGAAGGACAGCAAGTTAGAGATCTTTGTTGTTCTAGTCCCTTGGCTATGGCTGTGACAGAACAAAGTGTCCTAAAGCCTGAACCTACCCCAGTGAACCCACACTGCAAGTATTGAGAAAGTCCTTGCTTCCAAAATCATTTCTTCATGATTGAAACAGACTCAATTCAACTTTCAGAACCATTCTGTCCTCTAAATAGAAGTGATCGCATGAGTCATATGGTAATAGGAATGTCATTTTTGGAATCTGTTTCCCAATCAGGCTCCCTCACACAAATTTTCAAGTATAACTAGAGAGGCAAAGACAAAGAATGAGTCAATTTTGAGATGATTCAGGAAATACTATAATATGCACTGTTTAGTATTACTCAAACACTTGTCAGAGGTAGCCTTGGGCAAAGACTTGTAAAGGCACAAGAGACATCGAATCCTTTGTTAGCTTCCAGCAGAGGCTATCTCCTGAGCAAGACAAGGAAAACAGTCAAGTGATGCTGGGTCTAATGTACCTCTATAAGATGGTTCCTTGGTATCCAAAGGTACTAGGGGATCTGTATCAGTAGTAACTGAGATGCATGTGCAGGATATGCAACTAGTAAGGTTCACACTGGAAAGACATGACTCTCTTTACCTCCTCCAGAGCTGAAGCACCTGCTGTGACATTGTTAAATGGAAATGAAAATGGAGCACTGTTTGCAGTGGTGTATTGTTCAGAGACAAGCTTCTTATCCAGTAAGGTCTGCTACTTTTTCTCCCCTGAAGACCTAGAAAGTAAATGAAGAGCTTGTTTCAGCTTGCTGTCTTTTTATCTTGTGAGAATTATTTGCAATATCAGATGGATAAAATTCCCTTCCCCTTTGAGAAACTAGAAGGTAAAATAACAGTTGTACTTTTTAAAAAATTTTTATTTAAAAGGAAAAAGAGAAAAAACAAAACAAAACAAAGCGGTGTAAGGATACAAGTAATACAGAACTACAAAAAAAGAACAGTAATAAATCACCAATTAATAGATTATACATTATCATCTTAGAGATAGTTGCTCGTCACAGTATCAAAGCATACAAGGTGGACATTCAAACAGTGAGATTGCAAACAGTTGTGTTCAATGATCCAACCAAAAACATTAGTGTGGTCAGCTATTTAACACTCCTAAACACACTTGCAGTTGTATCCTTTAGAGCACTTTTTTTCCTCTCTTTTTTACAACAAAATTTACACATTTTGGGTTTTATGACTCGTTAGTTCTTATTATTTTTTTGGAAGAGAATAAAGTCAAATATGGCAAAACAAAGCTGTCAGTCAAAACCAAGGATAGACATAGCACATGATGTAAAAACAGAGTACAAGGTTATCAACAATGGTTACCATAATGCCTCTTGCTTCCTTAAAAAGATTGTCTATCTCATTAGGTATTATAAAGTTGAACAAAACAGTAGAGAACAAGACCAATAAAACCTAAACCTTGTAAACATTACAGGACTTCCAAAGGAGTTAATAGTCAAACCAGAATGGGCATCATAGTGAATCTTATTGCCTTCAAAGTAATTGCCTATACCCTCAAAACTTGATACTATCATACAGAATGGAACAAGATAGTGGGAGTATTACAGGACTTCAAATCAAGTTAATAGGAAATCAAAAAAGTTACTATAACATATCCTGCTAATTTTTTTGATTTTTCCCCTTAGTTAAAAAATCATAAAAAATAACTAATTTTTTTAATGAATAAGGGAGAGATTGAGATAAAAGAGGACATAACAACATAACAATACAGGTCAAAGCATGACAGTTTCAGCAACCTAGTGCTTCACCACCAAATAACCCGACTTAATAGTAGTTACCATAGTGTCTTTTTCCTTGAAATATTTGAATATAACTTCATATACTATAGCTTCAAACATATCAAGTCAGTGTAAAACCATTCAAATGGATGGAAGCATTGTAGGGTATTTAGAACCAGCTAACAGAAAATGAACAATGGTTTCTATATTATCTCTTTGCCTATAACAATTTTTGTTCATACTATCACATATAATAAAATCCAGCAAGATACATCATGATAAAACCAATGGAGACATTAGAGCCATAGTTTAGTGGGGCTTCAAAACAAGATGATAGTAAATCAGCACTAGCTATTATCTTAACTTACCTGACTTATTTTCTTCAAAATAGCTGTACATTTCATCACAGGCAATAATATCAAGCAGCCCAGAATAAAGCCATTCCAATTAATACGTGAAAACTTCATAAGGCCTCAAGACCACATACTGATTACCACATAATGAGGAATCATGATAACCACATACTTTTATATATTTGAATCATTACTTACATTAGGGAAACTTCAGTATTCACACATGCGAGATTGATTTATTTCACTTATGAGTATGGTCTCAAGCTGCGCCCATTTATTGATAAATATCTCAATGTGATCCTTCTTTATTGCTGATTAATACTCCATTGTATAGAAATACCACAACTTTTTTATCCATTCCTCAGTTGATGGACACTTGTGTTGTTTCCAAGATCTGGTGATTACAAATTGTACTGCTATAAACATAGGTGCACATATATCACTGTGGTATGATGCTTTCAGTTCTTCTGGGAATATGCTTAGAAGTGGAATAGCTGGAACAAATGGGACTTCCAATCCCAGCTTTCTGAGAAATCTCCAGATTGACCTCCACAAAGGTTGTACCAGTCTACACTCCCACCAACAGTGTGAGAGAGTTCCTTTTCCCCACAGCCTCTCCAGCATTTGTTGTTGTTGGTTTTCTTGATCCTGGCCATTCTTTCAGGAGTGAGATGGAATCTCAGTGTGGTTTTAATTTACATTTCTTTAATGACTAATGATGATGAACATTTTTTCATGTATTTATTTGCCATTTGTATTTCTTCATTTGAGAAGTGTGTATTCATCTCAGATGCCCATTTTTGGATTGGATCTTTGAATTTTGGGGGTCTGAGTTTTTTTAATTCTTTGTATGTTTTAGACAAAAGTTCCTTGTCTGAGGGGGAGTTCACTAAGATCTTTTCCCAGTTTATGGGTTTTCTTTTCACTATGCTGAAGCTTTCTTTTGACATGCGGAAACTTTTTAATAAGAGGTGGTCCCAGTTATTGATTCTGGGAAGTATTTCCCATGTGATTTGAGTCCTGTTCATGAATTCTCTATCTACCCCTATGTCTTCAAGGTTTCTACCCAATTTGTCTTCCAATAGATTTAGTGTTTCTGTTTTAATTCAGATCTTTGATCCATTTAGATTTTAATTTACTACATGGTGATAGGCATGGGTCTAGCTTTAGTTTTCGGCAAATGGAGAGGCAGTTTTCCAACACCATTTATTAAAGAGACTGTCATTCTTCCAGTGAACCTCTTGGTTCCTTTATCAAAGATAAGGTGGTTGAGTGTGTTTGTAGTTGTGCTTGTATCTTCTAATCTATGCCATTGATCTTCATCTCTGTTTTGATTCCAGTACCATGTTGATTTTACTACTGTCACTTTGTAGTATAACTTCAAGTCAGGGATTGTGATGCCTTCTGCCTTGCCTTTGCTGCTTAGAATTGCCTTGGATATTCTAGGTCTCTTCTGGTTCCAGATGAATTTTAAGAGTGATTTCTCTAGATTTATAAGGTATGTTGATGATATTTTTATTGGGATTGCATTGAATCTGTATAAGAGTTTTGGGAAAATGGCCATTTTCACAATGTTTGTTCTTCCTATCCATGAGCAAGGAATGTCTTTCCATTTTCTGAGATCATCTTCAATTTCTTTTTTCAGTGTATTTTAATTTTCCCTGTATAGGTATTGCACTTCTTTCATAAGAGTAATTCCTAAATATTTCATTTTTTTGCTTGCTAGTGTGAAGACTATGGTTTCTCTTATTTCCCTCTCTGTGATTTTGTTGTTAGTGTATAGGAATGCTATTGATTTCTTAGTATTGGTTTTGTATCCAGCTATATTACTGAATTTATTTATTATATCTAAGAGTTTTTCGATGGAGTTTAGGGGGTCTTCTATGTAGAATATCATGTCATCTGCAAACAATGATAATTTAACTTCTTCTTTTCCTATCTTTACCCCTTTTATTTCTCTCTCTTGTTTAATTGCTCTGGCTAGACTTCCATTACTATATTAAATAGAAGAGGTGATAAAGGACATCCTTGTCTTGTGCCTGATTTTAAAGTAAAGGCTTTCAATTTTTGGCCATTTAGTATGATGCTGGTTGTTGGTTTGTCATACCTGGCCTTTATTATATTGAGGTAAAGACCATCTATTCCAATTTTCTGTAAAGTTTTTATCATGAATGAATGTTGGACCTTATCGAAGGCTTTTTCTGCATCTATAGAAATGATCATGTGATTCTTACTTTTGGCTTTATTGATAATGCTGGATTACCATTATTGATTTACATATGTTGAACCATCCCTGCATTCCTGGGATGAATCCCACTTGGTCATGGTGTATAATCTTCTTGATGATTTGCTGCATCCTATTGGCCAATATTTTATTGAGGATTTTTGCATCTGTGTTCAATAGGGAGATTGGTCTATAGTTCTCTTTTTTTGTTGGGTCTTTCTCAGGTTTTGGTACTATAGCAATATTTGCTTCCAGGAATGGCTTAGGAAGGATTGCTTCCCTTTCAACTTCATTGAATAGTTTGAGGAGTGTTGGCATTAGGTCTTCTTTGTATTTCTTGTTGAATTCTGCAGTGAATCCATCTGGGCCTGGGCTCTTCTTTGTAGGTAAGGACTTAATTACATTTTCAATATCATTAATAGAGATTGGGTTATTCAGCAGTTCCTCTTGATCTAGCTTTGGTACTTCATATGTTTCTAGGAATCTGTCTATTTCTTCTGTGTTATCAAACCTTTGAGAGTAGAGGTTTTCGAAATAGGTGTTGATCTTCTGTATTTCTGTAGTCTGTAGTGATTTCACCTTTTTCATTTTTTATTGCATGAATTTGAGGTTTTTTTCCCTTTTTTTTAATAAGGTTGGCTAGGGGCTTATCAATTTTATTTATTCTTTCAAAGAACCAACTCTTTGGTTCGTTGATTCTTTGGATTGTTTTCTTAGTCTCTATTGCGTTGACTTCTGCTCTGATTTTTATAATTTCCTCCCTTCTTTTGGCTTTGGGCTTGACTTGTTCTTCTTTTTCTAGCTGTTTGAGGTGTAGCATCAGGTTATGTATTTGTATTCGTTCTGTTTTACTGATGTGGGAACTCAGTGCTATAAATTTTCCTCTGAGGACGGTTTTCATTGCATCCCACAGATTCCGGTAATTTGTATCTGCATTTTCATTTTCTTGTAGATATTGTTTAATTTCTTCTTTAATTTCCTCTGTGACCCACTGATTACTCGAGTATGTCATTCAGTTTCCATGTGTTTGTGGAATTTTTGCAGTATCTTTTATCATTAATTTCTAATTTCAAAGCGCTATAATCTAATAACATGCAAGGGATGATTTCAACTCTTTTGCATTTGTTTAATATGTTCTGTGAGTAAATATATGGTCTATTTTAGAGAATGACCCATGTACTGCTGAGAAGAATGTGTATTCTGATGTTGTTGGGTGGAATATTCTGTATATGTCTATCAAGTCCATTTGTTTACAGGTGTGATTCAGTTCTGTTATTTCTTTACTCATTTTCTGTCTGGTTGATCCATCCCTTGGTGTCAATGGTGTGTTAAGGTCTCCTGTTACAATTGTGTTACTAATAATTTGAGTTTTCATTTCTGTTAATAGTTGTTTTATATAACTGGGTGTTCTGGCGTTTGGTGCATATATATTTAAGATAGTTATCTCTTCCTCTTGGAGTTTTCCCCTAACTAGTATGTAGTGACCTTCTTTGTCCTTTCTGATCATTGTTGGTTTAAAGTTCATGTTGTCTGCAAACAGAATGGCTACTCCTGCTTTTTTTTTTTTTTTTTTTGATTCCTGTTGCGTGAAGTATTGGTTTCCATCCTTTGACTTTCAGTCTGTGAGTATCCTTCCTGGTTAGATGGGTTTCCTGTAAACAGCATATGGTTGGATTTTGTTTCTTGATCCATTCTGCTAGTCTGTTTGTTTTGTTGGTGCATTGAGACCATTTACATTAATGATTATAACTGTTATATGCTGGTTTACTGTTGACATGTTATCTCTCTGCTGTTGCATCTTTATCTTTCTGTTCTGTTTAATTATCTGCTTTGCTTAGTGGTTTTTTCCTTTGTGTATCTAAACTGTCTCTCAATATTTTTTGCAGGGTTGGCTTGGTGTTCATGAAGTTCTTCAGCTGTTCTTTGTCATGGAAGTATTATATTTCACCATCGATTTTGAATGATAGTTTTGCAGGGTACATCAGTCTAGGCTGGAGATCATTTTGCTTTAGGATCTGGAGTACTTCACTCCATCCTCTTCTTGACTTTATTGTTTGTGCTGAGAAGTGTGCTGTGATTCTGATAGGTTTTCCTTTATAACTGATCTGTCTTTTCTCTCTGACGGCTTTTAATAATCTATTCTTGTGTTGGATTTCTGGGATGGTGATTATTATATGTCTGGGTGTAGTTTTATTTTGGTTATGACTATTTGGAGTTTTATAGGCTTCACTGAACGTGATGTTGGTTTCTAATCTCATGCTTGGGAATTTTTCAGCTATTACTTCTCTAAATATCCTCTTGACATCCTTTATGTTGTCTCCTTTTTCATTAATCTCTATCAATCTTATGTTGTTTTTCTTTGCATCATCTTGCAGTTGTTGAATTGTTATTTCCTGATTCCTTGTTATTTTTAAAAGATCTTTCCTTTCCTGTTCACTAGCTGAAATCCTGTCTTCAAGGTCTGGAATTCTATCTTTACTTTCATTGAGGTGGTTTTTACAGCTTTCAGTGGAGTTTTTTATTTCCTGTATATCTCTGTGCATCTGCTTTATGTATTCTGTTTGTTTCTTACATTGCTCATCTAGGGATTCTATCTTTTTGTTTAGTTCCTCTAATTTTTTAACTGTGTTTTCTTTAGATATATTCAGATATATCCTTTAGATATATTCATTCTTTCATTTCTTTTATCATTTCTTCTTTTACCTGGGAGATTATTTTGAGTTTGAATTCCTTTAAGGCTTCCTGGAGTTGCTTGTTTATTTCAGTAGCTATTATGTCCCATATTTGAGTTATATGGCATATATTTTCTTCTGTATACATTGCTCCTAGGATTTCTTGAGATGGGCTGGAGGTTTGAGGTTATAATTTGGTCTTTCATTTTGTCATTTTCCTATATTTCTGTGTTTCAAGTGTTATTCAAAAGCTTCTTCAGGGTCTGTTTGAAATTCACTTCTATGTTCACAGCTCTTGGGACTGTGCCACCCAGTTCCCCCAGGCTGCTGGGCCTCTAGAACCAGTGGCCATCTTCTGCCTGTTTAGAACTCCATAGTTTCAGATAAGCTGGGCTCCAGGGACACTGTGTGCCCACCTACTTGCTGGAAACTCCACAGTTCTCCAAGTGCAGCCTGAATGGGGAGGCAGATGTAGGCACCTGGGGTCCACTTAGCCACTTCACTGCACCCGGAAGTCTGGAGGGTCCCAAAGAGTCTGGGCTTGGGGCAGAGTGCCCTGGTCACTTACCGCAGGCCATGGGACCTCTGGAACTGGTGATGCTCACCTGCTGGCTGAGAAATCCACAGTCCTCCAGACACACTGGGAGGCAGATGCAGGAGCCCCAGATCCACCCAGCCCTTACTCTGCACCCAGATGATGCAACAGTCCCAAATAGGCTGGGCTCCAGGGATAGTGTGCACCCACCTGCTTGCTGGAAACTCCACAATTCTTCTAGTACAGCCAGAATGGGGAGGCAAATATAGGTGCCTCAGTCCCACTTAGCCCCTTCACTATATGCAAAAGCCTGGAGGGTCCCGAATAGTCTAGGCTTGGGGAAGAGTGCACTGGGCACTTACCACAGGCCGCAGGGCCTCAGGAACTGGTGATGCTTGCCTGCTTGCTGAGAAATCCACAGTCCTCCAGGTCAACAGTTGTATTTTTTATGCAGGCAAATTATTTGAGAGTGAGTGACTTAAGAACAGTAGAAGGCTCATTATGTTCTAAATATCTTGCTTAGGGGGCAAGTCAATGTCTGGAGAGAAGAAATTGAAGTGTTACAACAACTTGAGATTTCAAGTCAGCTATGATAGTACATGCCTATAATCTCAGAACTCTGGAAGGCTGAGGCAGGAGGATCATAAATTCAGGCCCAGCCCAGGCAATTTGGAAACTTAGACTCTGATACAAAATTTATAAAAAGAAGTTGGAGATGCAGTTCAATCCCAATACCTTGAATTCACTACTCAATACAAAATAAATAGAAGACAGAAAGGAAACTTCACTGAGATTTTGGATGGCAGAAGGGGTAGTTTGAAGGCAGAACTCTTGAAAGTACTTAAAAATTTATTTCTAGCTTCTGATAAACTTCAAAAGAAATAGTATCTGTTTTCTTTCTTTCTTTTTTCTTTTCTTTTCTTTCTTTTTTTTTTTTTTTTTTTTTTTTTTTTTTTTTTTTTTTTTTTTGGTCTCCTGTTCCATGGAACAATTGTTTTCTCCCTTTGATTTTCAGTCTATGAATTTCCTTCAAGTTGTGTGTTTCTTGTATACAGTATATCAATGTAGTATCTGTTTTCTAAATAAATAGTAATTGAATATTGTATAAAATTACGGTTCCATAAATTTTTGAAATTATTGCTGCAGAAAAGACCTATAGAATACCATATTGTGTGTATGCACGTGTATGTGCATGTATGTATGTGTGTATTGGCATAAAATAAACAGGAAATAAACATAGAGCAGTGAAAAGGAAAATTACTTAGCTCCAGATAACTGTTTTATGTAACACCCTACTCCTAAGCACATGTCTTACTGGATGAGTCTATGGTTAATTCAGTAAGAATAAAAATGTATATTTGCTGTAGTCAAAAATCCTTTATGAATACTGAACACTGATATCTCTATTTTGTGAAGAATTTGAAAGACCTGATGAAATCTCAGATGATACCTGAAGTGGATATACTCATGTCACAGATAAGGAACATGTCTGAACATGAGTGAAAACATGCTGGATCACTCAAGATTAATTTAACACATGAAATATATTAAAACTCAATGAGACTTTTTAAATTTTCTTTATTTTCATCAGAAAAAAATTACTCCAAAATTATCCAAGGAGAATTTTCTTTGCATCCAAGAAAAAGTGATAAATAGCAAGATAAAGACAAAAGTAACATTAAGGAGAAAATTCATGCAAGTCACTAAAGCATATTATAAAAAAGTAGTAATTTTAAAACAGAGTAGTGAACATGTAGTAATAAGCAGACAGCCCAAAACAGAAAGTTTAGAAGCACATGCATATGAAGTATGGCAAAGGACAAGGTGTCATGTCAAATCATTAGAGGAACAACTTACTCAGGTGATAAGATACATATAAGCAAAAACAGTAACTTCCTTGCTGCTATCATATACAATATCAAACTCTAAGTATACTTAATAAATATGAACAAGAGCAAATGTTACAGTGTAGGTCCAGATGTTCCCCCAAAGCCTCTTGCTGTCGAAGGAAGCATGCTTTTCAGAGGTAGCTGAATTTAGAGTTTGTAATTGTTTCATAATTCAGTGCTGTAGTTAAAGGTATGAGTGCTACACTCCCCCCCCCCAGGGTGGGTGGCCTGCATACAATACAGGGGACAGAAAGAGGTTTTTCTCTTTTCTTTTTGCTTTTGCTATAACCGTAAACTGTTACTCTTCTGCCTTGTGCTCCCTTGACTTGAAACCAACTGATTACAGAATGAAAGTTCTACAGAGTGTGAGCTAAATAAACCTTAACTTATAGGTGTTGGATATTTTATCTCAGCAAAAATGAAAGAAGTAATTAAAACAGCAACAGTTCTTAAATTTACTATAAAATATTATGGACACTTTCCTGATCTTATGATAAGCAAGATCTAACTAAGCAAATATTTAAGGACAAAATGAATAAAATACACTGTTAATAGATTTGACCACCTAAAAGGCAAAATTTTTGAATCTCAAAATGCAATCCAAAGGGACCAGGGATGTAGCTCAGTGGCACAGTGCCTACCTGGCAAGGACAAAGTCTTTAGTTCGATACTTGGTACTGAAATGAGTAAATAAATAAATAAATAAATGTAATCAAAAACTTAAAATAAGTAGAAAATTTATACATGCACAAAAATAAAAAAAATAAAAAAGAAACACTAAAAGAATTGAGATCTTTGTCTGTAGCATTTATTTTCAGCTATATAAACTACAATAATAAAGACTCTGAAACATGCTTAGCATAAGCAGAAAATTCACAAAAAACAAATGAATATAATACAAATTCTCATCCTTTCTGATACTAGATAGAAATTTAAACAATAAAATACTTTATTCTGCTCATTAAATCAGCAACAATTAAAACGAAGAGTATTGATAGCGAAATGGGGACTTTTTAACCTGTTTCTGGTAAAAACTGAAAAGCTTCCTATTTTATAAGGGAATAGGATGTATATCCAAAGCTTTACAAACTCTTAATCACAAAATCCTTCAAGAAAATTAATCAAATACAATTTAAGATTTGTAATAGGTCGATAGTAATCACAGTATTTATATGAACAGCAGGTAAAATAATAAAAAAGTAAGTAAATATCATAAAGCTATTTAAATGATCCCATAGAATAGTACTAACATGGTAAAACTGTTCATGATGTCTGGCTTAGTGAATAAAACAATATAAAGATATGTTCTTCATTTTTCAAAACCACACACATGCACATGGTCACACACCTTTACAACTAACTAGATAATATAGTTATATATAAGTAATTTTTGTTCTTATTATTTTTCTTCTATGTATTTATAAAAAGTAAATATTTTCATGTAGATTTAAAGCACCAACTTCATTTTTTAATTGAAAAAAGTTATTAAAATAAGAAAAATGCAAGGTAATTAAAAAGAAATGAAATATTTCATCTGTCTCTAAAGAAGCATTCTCTGCAAAGATAAATAATACACTCACAGTTCTCTAACCACATCCTCCTTAAGCTCAAGCACTGAGACACAGTTGGTTGGAAAGAGTTCCTGGCAACTTTTGATTTTAATTTAGTTCCTGGAAATCTGTGCTTTTAACAGCTGGGAAAATGGACAACTGTATATTCGTGGATTCACTTGGTCCTATGAACCTGTGCCTAAATTGCTCATATTTAGCCACTGGAAAGTTGCTGGTATGAGCAGAAGGAGGTTTAGAATTAACAAAGTCAACAATATTTTTAAAAATCTCCAAGTTTATCTTCCCCCAAGGAGATGTGAAATAAAACTAAACCTTGGCTGCTCCAAGACATTTTCTATAACTAGACACATATAACTCTCCTGGAATGAAAGGATATTTAATCCATTTTCCTTTCCTGTGCTTTTAGTCTATTACAGTTCCAACCCTAAAGTATTTCTACAGCTAGTTGTCAATAACGGCATTAGACACACCGATGAGCTTGGAATGGTCTGTGGAGTGGCAAGACAGAGCCTCCCAGCTCCCGGCTGCTCATCCACTTAGAAGGATCTCTGAGATCTCAGAGGTCTCTGCGAGCCATGTGACCTGAGGTAGGCCACTGTAATTTCCCACACCTTGATTCGTCATCTGAAGAATAGGGATAACAAGGTCAATCCTATGGATATATTTAGGAACAGAAAAAGAATACAAATGACTTTGGGGTGGATGGAGAAACCATACAAATGTCCTACCATTTCAATAATGTTACTCTGAAAAGTCACTGTTTAACCAGTGTGAGATTTCAGTTCATTGGGCCCAGTGTCTCCAACTTCCTCCAATACTTTGGGGTTATGGGGTTGCCCTCCTTCCTCCTTTTTCCTCCCCTCCTCTCCCTTACCCTCCCCTCCCCTCCCCTTCCCTCTCCTCTCCTCTCCCCTTCTCCTTTTATCTCTTCTCCCCTTTCCTCCTCTCTCTTTCTTTTTTTTGTGCTAGGAATTGAACCTAGAGCCTACCACATGCCAAGAAAAAAGCAGTTTATTACTGAGCTGCACCCCTAGCTCATGGGATGGGTTTGTCATCTGACATTTGTAGTCACTTGGAAGGTATAGCAAAGGTCACAGGATAAGCATACTTCTTACCAAAACCTAAAATAAATTGAGGATAAGGAAGATTTATGTCTCTGTTCTGTTCTTTTAGGACTGATCCTTCAAAATCAATAAAAATTCAAATCTATCTTTAATTCACTAAATCTTTAATAATATGTATTTGCTGAGCCCCTTGAAATCACAGGGAGAAAATTACAGGTTGATTACTAAAGTGTTGATATAAAGATGACTTTTTTTCTTTCCTCCTTAAAATCAGTATGCTTTCCTATTACTCTCTTCTAGAACTGCCTAAGTACAGAGTAATAAATTAATATGCAGTTGCTCTGAAATTGCTGAGAAGTTCATACTGAAGTTTTCCACACTGAGGAATGCAGCATCATTTAAGATTCCTGGCTACGAAGTTACCTGTGTGAGACTCCAGGGAGGCAGAGAGGGCACTGACTTCTTACTGATCCCCACTTGCTCTGGTTTCCTGTTACTCTTCTCTGCTTTGACACATTACAGTGCATGACAGTTGAAATCAAATCAGCACACAGGATTCATTCTTCTCACAATGTGGACCACAACACAGTAGAAGTAGCATTATTGCAAAGTGAGAGTGAATTTCAGAAGGGTCCCATACCACATACAGTATTGATGAGTAGACTAACAGTAATGTTGAACATTCTAAAGAAAAAGACACACAAATGGAAAGAACAGAACGCAGCAAAAATTCAAAATGCCATGTCTTTTGGTTTGTATGTAATTGTTATGAATTTTCTTTTTACTCCTGCATTTGTTCATTCATCTGTAGCACACCAGTACCTAACAGAAGAGTACATGTTTCAGCTAAATTATTTAATAAGATATACTCATATATCTCCAAATAGTCAGGTTAGAGAGTCCCAATCTGCCTTTACATTAACAACTCATTCCATATATTTAACTCATCCTTTAACAAACACAGTTAATTAGTTTTCTTCTGAACTGTTGACCACTGATTCAAATGAACTCTAGTGAAAATAGTAATAACTTTAGGAGTTTGAACAAAGTGTGGAGAAATTATTTTACTTTTAATCCTTGAAAAAACAAGCACATTCTGCTGCCACACTGTGAGTTTTGAAAAATTTGAAAGTGAAACAATCTTACAAAGTTTTTGATTAAAAATGAAAAAAATTAATGTCTTAAATTCAAAGATGTAAACACAAGAGAAAACAAGACATTTGCTTCATTTGGGTTTTATTTGCTTCATAGTTTTTTATCTCCAATGTGCTCTGTTTGGGGATGACAAGCAGATGTGTGGACCTGCACATCTGGTTGTTGCATGATCCTATGTAAAATGCAGATGGCAAGTCAAGCCATTCCACATATGCAC